CCTATTGAGAAATAAAAAAAAAACATGAATTTCATATTTTAATCATCACATAAAACCAACATTCAATAATCACTTTTTTTACTGATAAACAATAGTCAATTTATAAAAAAGTTTTTTTTATCTCAGGTATGATTTATAAACAATAACTAAGAACAATTAATAAATATCATAATATCAAAAATCGTGACTATATAACTACTACAGGTGACTAACAACTGGTCTATAATTTGATCTAAAATTATGTTTAGAATCCTTAAAGTTAGGAAAGCTCACTCTGCGAGCGTGCTAAATTCTCGGTTTCCAGAGGTGTACTAAAAGTTAAAACAACGCAATAAACTTTAATTCCGTATGCAATTTATGAACAGTAACAACTATGGTCAATAAATAAATAATCTTAATATAACAGTCGTAACTATGTACCAGTAAATAACGGACGGACCGACACAGAGGATATAAGATGTTCTAAACTTATTTTTAGAAACATAAAATTAAACTAAATCTATAGCAAAAATAATAACAATAAATGCCCACTATGATTTTTAAAAAAAACATAAAGTTTGACATTCTAATCACATACAACAAACAATCGAGAACCACTTCCGATACTGATAAACAATACTAGCCAATTTTTGCATACATTTGTGTTAAAACTTTCACCTAACCTAATTTAACAAAATAATATTGTATTATAAATAATGTAATAATAAAAACCTTATATTATAAAATAATGTAAACACTGTTGAACATTTATCTATTTAATTAAAATTAGTATTAAAAACTTATATTAATAACTATTATTTTCATCGAAGACTTGAACTTTATAAACTAGCGTTCGTATTTTGAACGAATTCTGTAATGGAGCAATTTCTGTTATAATAATATGATTTAAAACACATATTATTTTTAAATCACATCAAAAATGTAATTATTATGGGCAATTTATTTTAAATTGTCTTTGTTATCCATACAAAATAATATTACCTATATGAGATAAAAAAAACAATAGAATACAGATGACATTTACCTGACCCCCTCCTATTGAAATTCATCCATATTTAAAATCAATACACAAATATGTGATAACGGACATAATTGTTCGTTATTCTACGTTTATCACAGGCACTTACTTATACTTGGGCTCCAAATAATAGTAAAATATGAACATGAATTATGCATATATGTATATTACTCATATTATTATTTAATGTTATAATATGTATATGGCCTAAGTACTTATATAATAGTGTATAGACTATAAAGAATAGCTACCTACGTGTTACAGCGTTATCGCAGTGTCCTTAATTATAGTTAAGATAACGAACAAATCATAATTAACGAGAAACGTGTTAATTTTCCTGGATCGCAACGTTAATTACATTGCAATTTGTCATTATGTGCGTAATATTATTATATTGCCGGTGTACGATAATATTGCCGTCTTCATATTATTATCTGATAGTAAGAAATCAAAATTAAGACGATCGTTTTGCAGAAGTTTGTAATAACCACGGTCATCGGTCACTGCGCTCTTCGGCGGATCGTATATTGGTGTCACATTATTTTCACGTAGGTGGTAACTGCAGACTCCACATAGTGCCAACTAATTTTCCGAATACAATTTTTTCTCGAAAAAATAACATGTTAATTGATATGAATTATAATTATTTATTTATTTATCAAAAAAAATGTCTCCGGATTCTTCAATTAATATACATGTAGTGATAAAAATTCGATTAGCAATCATCTTTTATATAAAAGATATCGTTAAGTTAGGAAGCTTTCTTCGTTAACATTTCACACACGTCATAATATTTCATATTATAATAAAAAAAAATGTTTGAAAGTGATTCAAGGCATTTATATATAGCAATATTACGAACCACATTCGACAAGAAATAGTTGTAGTTTTTGTATTCCGAGGCCAGTAGTAACAGACAAATTATTTAAACACCTTTGGAAATTAAATTTAATATTTTCAAATTTTCATTTTTGACACATTTTACTGAGAATCCTTTTATCTGGAGGAAGTTAGCGCAGTTAATATCGTAATACGCAATAATCGAGAAGGCCCATGGCCGATCTTTAGAATTTTCGATTCAAAGTGTATTTAATAATTTCCGCCAAACACTCTCCTTGATTCCACACATTACTGTGATTTATTTAATAATGTCGGTTCTCAGGAGTCTTCGGTTTTCACCGCGGTCCACTGCTCACACTTTTTTTACACTCCCAGCAAGTTTTTATCTTAAAGGAACTTATTTAAGCCTCATGCAACACAAAGCTTACATTAATCAATTTAATTAAGCCTGACATTTTAATGTCACTGGGTGGTACAGATGCCGTACTTTATGACTCACAATATCTACAATTGTAATCTAGGTGTTAAATATTATAGATATTCCTATAATAGTATGATGGTAACAATTACTTAAAACTACGTATAAAAAATAATCTTTGAAATTTAAAAAACAATTATTAGAAGCGGAGAAATATAATTTTAGAAATACTCTATTTGGGCAAAATAATGTTCGTGAAAAATATCGGTAACCAATAGATATCCTATAGGTAGTTCCAGTGTTGAACATTAATTGACACTGTCGGCACAACCACAGAATGGTTTTACGGCTGCACAATTTTGATATTCAACACATACGCATTTCATATATTAACTTCTCAGCAGACTAATATTATTGCAATCTCCTAATTACTTTCCACGCAATAAATTAAAATGTAAACTTCAACTACCCACATTGGTTACGTCGTCGCTATTTGTTAATGTTTGTACATTGTATATTACGCTGTGACACTGCACACACGGTGTTTCGTACATCTTGTCTGATTGTACTGCCACCGGTTAGTTATTATTATTATTATTATTATTTTAATCTGTTTGTTCGACATTTACAAAACCACCTTATTCCTACCTTGAAATGTTCAAGAACCGTATTATTTTCCACCACAATTAACGACGGACAATGTACGCATGTAAGCTAAAATCGCATACATTTTGTGAATTGCACAGTCGCAATAGACACTATTTTAATTCACCAAATAATTCGTTCTAACTTGTGGTATAATCGTCATCAGGTGAAGGATACACGCAGAATGTGAAAATTATTTAGGTACATAATATAGATCAATCTTCAAAAACAAAAAGAATATTAGTCCATATAATTAATACATATTGTATAAACATCCATATTAATATAAGCTGTAAAATATACTATGGCATTTGTTTTTCAATCCTAAGATTGTTGAACGTATTTATTTATTTTTACTCTTAACTCATACTGCAGACCTGCACTTGTCAAAAGTATTGATGTATATTTTCTGAGGACAGTGACCAAATCGTTTTTACTTATTGATATATTTATATTTTAAGTTCAGAAGATATACCTATTTGTTATTTGAATTGTTTTTATATGTTGACTTTTTTGGACAGTGCAACACTCAATACCACCAATGTTACGAATTACCTTTATAAATAAAGTATAATTAATAGGTGTGTAGTGAGTACTTTCGTGAACTTATTATTTGATTTTGTACTTGGTTATCTTAAAAGTAAAAATAACTATGTTGGTTAGTATATTTAAACATTCATATTAATATAATATTATGTTTGTTTTAAAATCTAACCGAGCAAAACACGTTATAAATTATAATTATATTAATTTAAATTTGAAAGCACAACGGATAGGTGTTATTATTATGGCGTTTCAGTGTAATACATTGTATACTTAACAAATCAGACTCCACCTTCAGATCAATTTCAAACATGTGTTGTATTTCACGTTTCATACATTGGTAGATCAAAGTTACCATGGCCAAGTAGAAAAATTAAAAAAACGTATTTTATCTCGTTTAGGTTTCATTAAGTTAATTTTATTACGTCTAGTCTACATTCGTATGAATATTATCATCATTTCAACGATGCTCTCCGGTTGGTTGACTCGTCAAAATTAATTTAATTGACTATTGCTATGTCGAGTAAACCAAATAATCGTAAATAATACAACCCAAAGGATTCAGAGATATATCCCGGCATGAATATCACGCGCTGTGGCCGAGGGGAAAATTAGAGCAACTAGACATCCACCATCCGGAAAATCAGCCTGTGAAAATGTTGTCTGTAATTGAAACGCCTGTCCTCAGCCGTTGACACATGTTACTGCGTTGTTAAAACCCCCGGAAAACTTTCCGCTAATAATATCTGCATAATTCTACGACTAAAACTGTTGCGAGGAGACGAGTGACGAAAGGACATGAATGATGGTCAGAAAGGACAGAGAATTAGAGTGATAAACATAATTTCAAATGCATGGAAACCAGCCCTATCTATTTGGAACGACCATACATAAATACCAGTCTCGTAGATTTTCTTTTAAAACTATTAACTAAACCCGTGATAAAACACTTTGAAAACAATTGAATTCGACATCAAATGGATCAATCTGCAAGCGCTGTTGTTTGACACTACAATTCAAATAGTATCATCGTTTTCTTATGAAAATATTGTTTATTTATCCCGATCCTTAGTTTGTATTTTAGCAAAATTTGTTATGAATATGAAGCTGTAATTGTATCTATGATTATGAGGAGAATACTGTTTACTTTTGGAAACAATTTGAGGCATTTAAGTCGATTGAAAATTATAGGATGCATTCTAAAAAAAAGAATGGTATCTTTTTTTATTTTCTTATTGATAAACCTATGATGATATCGTGTGATACAAGACCCAATTAATAGAATAATATTATATACGCAACTATTTATAAGATTATAGACTCAAGTTTCGTTATCCTACCATTTTTAATAAAAATAGTATTATATTATAATATAATTTTTTTCATCGTTGACACCTTAAATATTCTCTTATTACTCTACATTGAAGTGAAAAACTGTTGAATTATAAATTATATTATTTATGTAAGTAAACTAATTTTATGTATTTTTACGTACCATTATTTATTATAATATTTATTTATATTATTACGTTTGTTCTACATCAATCCTTCCTTCGCGTAATTTTCCATAGTTTCTGATTCCATTGTCCCTTCTTTTAGTGAATAATTTTCCTCTTCTACGTCTTCATCATAACATAAGTACTCGAAATCTGTGTAGATAAGCTCAGAGCGTTTCCCATGTCTATTATAAAACGCTACTCTGCTCAGGAAATTTGTGATACTCTGAGGGAAGTTGCAATTTTGAATAGAAATGTACTCGATATTCAAATTCGTTTTCAACGTTGTGTGTAACGCAATAGCCACTTCCGATGTTAATGGATTGTTATCTATTTCTAGAGCACGTAATCCACAATCATATGCTAATGACTGAGCAATGTTTAAGCCTCCGATTTCGGTTATAGTACAATTACGAATCCGAAGTTTAGTCAAAGGTTGAACTCCTGATGCTAAAGCAGATGCTAAATATTTGGCACCAATGTCATTTATATTGTTCATATCTAAATAAATGTATTATATTCGATGCATATTAATTACGTCTGTGAGAGATTATAATTCTTGGTTACATGAATTATGTTTTCTCGTTATTTTATTATTATTTGATTTATGAGTTGTTTTTAAAGTTAAACAAATATAACCTTTTTTGACATTAAAAATAACATATTATAATACTATCATATTTTATACGTATCAAGTTTTAAACTGTTCGTATATTTATATGCAATTAAAGGTATGTTTTCAAAGTAAAAAATATAATAGTTGAACCTATTTTGTAAATACGTACTTAAATTTAACTCAATCGCCGGGTAGTTATTTTTTCGCCTCCATAACATTACAAACGATAATGATTCAACTCCTTCTGGGCCGATATTGTTACCGCATAAGTTCACCAGCTTTAACATTTTCGCAGTTTTTAGGAAATGTGCAACCGATTTAGCACCAAGAGAACTTAGTTTACAAAATGAAAAGTTGATCTCTTCGAGACCATAGCACTCCATCAAATATGGTAATAGCCTGTTGAACTTTGTCATATTTAATTCACTCTTAGTAATGGTCAGGCTTGTCAAGTGTACTGATTTTACCAGGCCACGACCAAGCGTGTCCATGTCATAAATATGGAACCTGTACTGTTCGGGAGTATACATCGGGGGTTCTGCCGTAAATGTCCTGGAACCATAAACCAGGCTTAAGGTCCGAATGTTTTTTAAAATACCCAACACAAAACTCATATCTATGTGAATTGGATCGTGGGGTAAAATACCCTTAGGTTCATCGATCGCCAATGTGTGTACTATCGAACCCTGAATACGAAGCTGTTTGCAATCTATTACAGTGACATATGGGCTGCAAACCATCAATATCTCGGAAAGCTCAGTTTCATCGACGTAACCAGGTTCCAAGTTTTCAATTATTTCCGATACATATTTGGTTATGTAAATAATTTTTACGGAATCTGAAACTACTGCAGGGTTCAGTTTTGATTTAACATAGTTTGGCCAAGATTCGTCATGCCGGCGACGCCAATACTCATCACCTGGGACGTGAATGACTAAAGATATCGGTAAACTAGTACTAAGTGTTTCCACGAGGTACTCTGTATTTATAGGAGTAATCCACTCGAACAACTCTTTGGGGTACCGTGAAAAATGGTTGGCGATATTATCCAAGCAAAGTAACTTTAATGGTTTCGGCATACAATCTGCCCAGCTAAAGTCCACAGAGCTTATAACATGTTCGACATCGTCTGGCCTCAGCCTACAAGGAACTAATTCATCCGATGGAATGAACAAGTGAAAAGTTGTCTTTGGTATTGTATGAGGTATCCACATAGTGAAACTAGTTACAATAAAAAAAATTACGCACAGAAAATCGTTATACAATATAATAATTTTGGTCTGGAGTGAAAAAAGCCATAATTAGTAATAAATAAGAACATTTCAGCTGCCAGAGCTTTTATTTGTATTTCAATTTCATATTAATGTTGTCGTGGTAATACAGAATAATTTATACTAATTAAAAATTTTAAAATATATACTATTTTAACACAACACTTTTTATTTATACCGAACTCGTAAGTTTAGTATTTTCACAGACCATTATTGTACACACTATTGTTAAAGGTAAGTAGGTACCTAAAACCGAATACGCACTCCAGCACCCGTAGATTATACATAAAATATATTAAAAAGATTTTTTTATTCCGATAAAAATGTAGTACAATATTATAATTCTTCAATAAGAAAATAAGCATGAACACAATATTGTTTCATGCTTGTGTTATTTATTACTAATTATTGTTTATGTTCATAAACTACTATTAAAACTACGTTTATTTACTATAGTTATAATCTACTTCAATATTATATCAACAGTTACATTTTTAATAGGGAGACTAAATTAATAATACTAATAGTTAAATTGAAATAAGTCTGTAATGCTGTTATTTAAAATAAAATACGTTGATATTAATCAACTTAATGCATCAAATCATTATATTTCCACCTGGAGACCATTATAATTAATATTTTTGTTTTTGTGAGCATTCAATTTTGAACTTCGGAGGGATGTTATGTTACTCATAACAGAAGATTAATTTGAGGCTCCATTATATTACTTAGTTTGAATGGGAGTCTCCTATAATATATACAATACTATAATGCATTTATGTTGCACATAACAAAATTCTTCGGTCCAAACGATAATGGGTGCTCTTTAAAATATAAAAATTATATTTTCACTCAATTGTCTTCTATAAGTTTTAATTCGAACTTTGTGTATTAAATGGTAATATAAATTAAATAGTGACAACAATATCAATTATACCTAATAGAGATTTTTGCACACTATATTATTAGTGAACATGTTCAGGTATTACCTAGTGTTCAAATGAAAATGTTCAACCAGGTTACTTGTAATAATAATTAATGTATTGATAAACTGTAGTATACATTTATTCCGGTTAGGCAAAACAATAAAGGTTGATATTACATATTATTAACCTACTAGTATAAAATTATAACATAATGTAAATAATATAAGACGAATGCGTTTAAGATTAATATTTCATAGAAAATAAAAAGCACTTTTAAAACGTTTGCATAATAGGTATCAGGTAGAATATCACTTTTAAATTGGTCAATTAAGTATACAAGTACAAGGCTCAACGTTTTTTGTATTGTTTTATGTTTGTATATAACTACAGTATTATTATTATAATTACTATGTAAAATAATATTGAATAAAATGTTTATACATTTTTTTGGAAAGCATTTATGGATTTTAATTAAGTTTAAACAAAATCTAATAGAATTTAAACAATGAAATAGTAAATTATGTAAACTACCTATTCTAAGTTTTATCACCCAATCTACATTTTAGTTTTGTGATTAACTTTACTTTAATTGTAGTGTAACGAGAAATCGTATATCACCCATAACCGCGCGACTAGTGGTATAATACCGAATTAAAAGTGCCGCTGAGCGATACTTGTTACGCTTAGCGGACACACTAGAGCGCGCTTCTCCGCAACATAATTGCGAATACGGTGTGGCCAGCAACGATTAAGATATTTTAAGTCAGCTAAAAGGACCAAGCGATACAGTATCATGGAATCCTGCATGATATCCATACACCAAGAACATCAACGGCATCAGAAACTCGAGAGGAAATATGAGAACATTGTGAAAACAGCACGTCGTCCACACCCACATCTACACTAATATTAGAAGTCTAAACATACATAAGTATGGCTAGTCGACGACGGTGAAGGTACCTTCCGCTCCTACCGTGATACCAAGGATAGGCTCAGTGGAATACAATTCACTTGTATTAACGCCCTGTGTCCTATCCGAAATATCACGGTTAGTGACAGCAGCACCGCCGAGAGACCAGCAACTGCAGCACCGCCGAGGCGCCGAGAAACCGACAACAGCAACCGGAGGATCCACGGAGCCATACCACCGCCGACCCCGAACTGTAAGTTGTACTGTTATAGTGTACGGACTACGGAACACCGTAGTAATACCGGCACCTTTACACACTGTCCCTATCCTCTACTAGTGTACGGACGACATCATACCGTAGTAATACCGACACTATCCTCCACTCGTGCATGGACTACGAAATACCATAGTAATACCGGCATCACTGCATAATTATGATCCTTATTGATGCACCATCATATAAATATATTAACTAATGTTTGTGAATGTTAAATTGTATATTTTTAATGTATGCTCGAAGAAGCAATTAATAGATCTTTCAAAAGAATAAACTGTATGTCATTATTATTATGTTATATATATAAATAAATGTATGTATCTGACAATATAAAAAACAAAAAACCGAAACGTGTTGTCATTTCCGTTACAGTAGTAATTTTGTACACGAAAATAGAGTCATTTGGTTAGTGGCAATATATTCTCTTAAAAGTTTTAGTAGTAATAGGTCAAATCACTTATAACAAAAATAATAATTCTATTTCGATCTTACCATATCAAATAGTAAATAATAATGTGCAAGCTGATTCACCAAGACTTCTCAGCTCTTTTTTTTCAATAATGTAATTATTTAAATCTAATTTATGAAATGAATGAATATATCAGAAAACTATATTTCATAATTCTTGTGGTTTTTTGCCATACTTAAGGAGTGTCCTGTGGAGACACAAAATTCTGTTTGTCAAATGAAAACCCCTTATCTCCCCTTCTCATTTGAAAAAAACAGAAGTTTGTATCGCCACACAACACTCCTCAAGTAATACAATTATGCAATTCAAGAATTTAAAAAACAATGTCTTTGAATATATTTAAAAAATTCAAAAATTAGAATGTGAATAAGTTCATTATTAAAAGAAAGGGGGGGGGGGGGTTGAGTCACTCTGTATAATATATAAGTTACAAACAGGCGCATATGGGTGATTAAATAAATGAAAATTAACAATAAATATTGTGTAATATTGTATGAGTTTTGGATAATTGATACATGCTTGTATGATTTATGTATAGATAAGTATAATTTTTTATATTAATATACCTAATTTTATGTTTAGTCTTTAAATAGAACTAACCAAAGTAAAAATTAATTAAAAAAATATATAATTATCGTAAATAACTAATAATAATTGTAGTTGTTGAACTCTGATATCGAATAAAAAAAAAGTTGATATTGCTCTGCTGTACAAGAGGTTAGAAATGGGTCACTGCAATGGATGGTGTTAAGTTTGATAATGTATGTAACAATATCATTGTAGGTATATGATAATATATTATAAATATATTTTTAAATTACAATATACCAATAACTAAGATTGTCATTATTTTTTTTAAATATCTATAGTTTCCTTGAAACTCGAAGTTAGAATTACAATAAAAAAAAAACTATGTCTTTTTAATTTTTTTAGAATTTTGTGACAGTATATGAACCAGAATATGAGATACCTTGTTCTAAAATGTTGATCTTAAGTTTTAAAAATTGAATAGTGTATACTGTATACCTATATTTTATTGTACACTGTGTAACAAAAATATATGACATATCTGATATGTATGATATTTGTCATATATTTCTGTTACACTCTGTATGATTATAATATTTTTGAGATTTTGACAAAATATTTCGTCAAATTTTAATCTTTCAGTGTTTATAAAAAAATACTGTGTCCATACATCTTCAATATTGTGTAACTCTTATCATAACAACCAATTAAAGGAACCTTGTATTACATATTCAAGTGTTTTGATATACCAAACATTTTTTATCGCAATTAATTTTATAAAAATCAAAAATCTCTTTGGCTATAAATTGCTCAAATAGAGTCAAAATATTTCAAAAATGTATTCATGAAAGAAAATGGTCTTATAAACATCTGAGGAAAATATAAAGCATCTATGGTTATGACTTATGAGAGTTTCTTATTACACCGAAAAATACATATTTTATTTTATCAAAAACAGGTTTAGAAATTCTTCTTTTTCCTTAATTTTTTTTTTTTGTTTTTCCAGAAGCTTTTTAAGACAAATGTTAATTTTATAAATTTACCTCTCTAAAGTACCAACTAGATTCACTTTCCCATCATTAAAAATGCCGAAGTTTAAAAATCAAAAGGCCGAAACAAAAAACATATATCATTGTAAAATCAATAAATTCATCATCCCCGTTCTGAATCCTAAAAATAATGAAACGTGTGATTTGGCCTAACAAAATATTATTGTTATATTCAGTTATTACGAAGCACCTCCAAGAAATCACTTATATTCTTCATTGTTCGTTGAGTTAGTAAATGTTCATAATTGGTTTAATTTGTAAGTGAATATCAAAACCTCGACTGATTGTAGGGACAATCATAATTTTGACAAAATACTAGCATAGCAGTTATATAATAATAATATTATCAATAATATTATGATGGTTATTAACTCAAATTTCATATTATTATAACGTAATGATACGATATTATCCCGGTTAATCTATGAATTATGAACTCCGTCATAACTTATAATATTGTATGATACTATTGATACTTATAATAATACCTGTAATGTGACTTTCGGCTTCATTGGTGCCTATATCAAACGCCACATAATGTATCCGACACAATTATTATTATTTATATAATGGTGTATTTATTATATGATGGCGTCGTGAAAAGCGCTATACCTATTGACTCCCTTGCTGATTTCAAAAGTGTGATCATCCGCCGGATATATTGTTCGGCGATACGATAAGTGCAGGAAACGGGATTTGTGTGCCCTTTATGCGTGCATGAAAAGTGTGTTTAAGTAATTCGGGAGGAATAAATAATCGTCACCGACGCTGATACCGTATACGGGAGTGTTTGGAGGACGCGATTCCGTTCGCCAGCGGATAACACATGGCCATCCAATAACGTCCGTCGTCGTCGTATTATAATAGAATTTAATATGTATTACGTGACCCTGGTGAGAGCTGAACGGGACCGGAAGCGGACGACCGTGGATGAAAAATTTTAGGGCGACACCATGATCATGCATTAGCGCGTTTTTAACTCTGCGTGTGTGTGTGTGTGTGTGTTTGTGTGTGTGTGTGTGTGTGTGTGTGTGTGTGTGTGTGTGTGTGTGTGTGTGTTTTTACATTATAATATCCTCTTCTATTTATTATATGACCGTCACGCGACCACTGCCCGCGCCACCGTGCAAACTGTATACATTTTCCCGGCGGCGATCATTTCCATCGTCCTTCGTTCTCCGTTTCGATCTAGAAACAACTAGTCCTCCTTTCTCGGCTGCTGACACCGCCCAGAAAACGCATCCGCGTGCATGTCGCACGGGTTTATCCGGTCCAATAACTAATGGACAAACGACTTTGCGAGTCTGCTCTCCTGCACGCGCTGCCGCGCCCCTGGACAGATTTACTGGGCCGTTACTTTGGAGACAAACAAAACCCTCACTGAGTAGTCCGCCGGGATGGGGAGGAAGAAGCGTACATCCGCAGACAGAATTTAAATGGAACTGATATATAGAATAAGGTCGAAATGAGACGAGGAGAGCGAAATAGAACGGATGGAGTGTGAAAGGGGGTGAAAGAGTTAGCGGGTAGTGATAGAAAGTGGGGGATTGAAAGTAGTGTGAGAAGTGAAAGAAGGGGTAAGAAGGGCGTTATGAGTGAGTATGGTAAGGGGGAGGGGAATAGGAAGAGGATGGAACGGAATTAATGCGGTCGAGAAGGAGATAGAATAAAGAGTTTTTTTTATCAATTTATATTGAGTTTATTGAATTGTGCATGAGTGTGTGCATTGCATGGTTTTATTTTTTTTTTCGTCACCAAATAGGCTCATTCGGCTGGACTTGCCTGGCAGTTGCTACAGGCGCTGAATCTGTTGCGCGTCCCTTGGTGGCAATCGCCACCCGTGAGCGGGTGATAATCGTTTTCACCGGGCGGATATAATAGGTACCTACTGCTCATTTCCGGACGGACCAATTGGTATTTTATAATAATTACACCGGGAAATTACATCGATTTCCTCGTTACGAATATATTGCCGTCTTCAACATTGCATATTATATATAAAGACTATTACATAACTTAGTGTCGTGATTGTTTTTCTACATGAGTCACATAATTTATTATAGTTACAGATGTGAGTATGCGACTGTTGACATTTTCATAAAATTGTATAAAGTACCTAAACATAAGTTATTACAATAATGTTGGAAATTTGTTCTGCCTAATTTTTATTTTTTGTATTTCTATTTTTTTAATTTCAGATTTAATAGATATTTTTATTGATAATAGAATATTTTTATCAACTCAAAAGTATATATTTCACAAACAGAAAAATGTTTGTTCTGAATTCATCATGAAGATGATAAAAATATGAACATAGGTTAAGACATATTGTGGCCACTTAAAGCAGGTCTACTGCTTTTTCTTCCAATTATTATTAGAAATTGTTTTATTCTATTTTTGTTATAATTCCAATTTTTATATGAACAAACACATTGCTAATATTGTTGACCTTTAAATTCTAAAATAATCAATTACACGTTATGTATTTGCAAATCAAACATTATGTTTGAAAACAATAGAATAACTTTAAAATATCAGCTGAAAAATATATCATACGATAAACAAAACAATTATAATAATATTATCATGGTTTGATAATTTATAATAACTACTATGTGCAATTCAAAATAAAAAAAATTAAAATTCTGAAATTACAAGAATAATAATATATTTAACAAATATAATAGGTTTATAAGTAGAGCCCTGATAGAGACATGAATTATTTGATAAAAATTTACGAAGTACCTACCTAATAAACTCGTAATAATAACAGCAAGCAAAATATTTACGAAATCGTATTATTCAACATTACTATTGTTTGTAATTTAAATAAAGTATTTAAATACATTACTTTTATTCCTAAAATTAGGATGATAGGAAATATTCTGTAAAATATGTGTATATTATAAAATATACAAATATGTAATTTT